CCGGAGATTAAGTTCTTTTTTAGTAAAGATATACTTGAGGCTTTTATGGTCAGTGAAGATTCGACACGTTTCCCTATAAAGATAATGCCGCTAAATTTTTAAAGCGAAAACAATAACTGCCAATTCAATATCATGATTAGGTAGTTCATTTCATGGGGTTTTAATTGTCACAAAGCATACGCGATCACCTTTCCATGCTACATCAGCACACAACCCATACCATTCAGAGATGCGTCACTGTAGATCTCGAAATTCCCACTGTCATCGGGAAGTGCCAGGACATGCGCATGAATGAGACAGTACTTTAACTGTTGAAAACTTCGTTCACAATCATCATTCCATTTTTCATAAAGCGTCTTTCACAAAGCGCCGATAGTAGCCAGCAAGACCAAGAAAACTCTGTACTTCAGTAACAGTCTGAGGTTGCTCCCAATTTTCCATTGCTGCTACTTTTTGAGGATCCACAAGAACACCCTGAGCTGATATTATGTGTCCTAAGAATGAAACCTGATCCAGCCAAAACTGGTATTTACTGAATTTAGCATACAATTGATTCTCTATTAGCTTCTTTAAAACCAGATGTAAATGTCTAGCATGGTCAACCTCGCTATTAGAAGACACCAAAATGTCATCAATGAAGACAATTATGAACCTGTCAAGGTACGAACGGAATACTCGATTCATCAGGTCCATAAAAGCTGCTAGAGCATTAGTTAACCCAAATGGCATCACGAGAAACTCATAATGACCATATCGAGTTCGGAAGGCTGTTTTTGGAATATCATAACTTCTGATCTTCAACTGATAATAGCCAGACCTTAGATCGATTTTCGAGAAAACACAATCACCACGAAGCTGATAAAAAGATCATTGATACGAGGCAACGGATAATAGTTTTTAATTGTCACCTGATTCAGTTGTCTGTAATTGATCCATAGCTTCAACGTTCCATCTTTTTTCCTAAAAAATAAGACTGGAGCTCCCCAAGGAGAAGTGCTCGGCTAAATAAACCCTTTATCAACAAGTTCTTGCAACGGGGTTTTTAATTCCCTCAACTCTGCAGGAGCCATACAATAAGGAGTTAGAGAAATAAGGTCGGTACTTGGAATTAGGTCGATGGTGAACTCCACTTCACGATCCAGTGGTAGGCCAGGTAAATTGTAGAGAAAAACATCAGAAAAATGTCTGACTACCCGAACGTCTTCCACATGAGTAGGAGTATCTTCAGTCATCACTACATGAGCTAAGTAGCCTTGACAACCCGTTCTCAACATTCACTTCGCCCTCATGGTAGAGATAACTCCGTGTTTCAGACCACTACGTTTACCTACAAAAATTACAATAGCCATGCCCGGTCGATGGAAAGTAACAATTCAACATGGCACGATTGTAATCTAACCAATCCATGCCAAAGATAATATCGAAATCAACGATGTCTAAGGGAACAAGGTTAGTTGGCATTATGACATCCTTGATAAGAATGGGACATCCTCGATACTCCTGTGAGAACCCCTATTTAGTATATATATATATACTATTATTTTCTAGTTTTGACTTAGGGTTTCCATGTGATATACTATAACTAGTATTTCAAATGAACTTATACTTAGCCTATAAGTTTACAATCTATTTATGTATATATTGATCATATTGAAGTTTGAGTACATGCTGTTGACTCAGCATATTGGCTTAGCATGAGGTGCTGGTAGGAGGAAGAATGGTGGAGCTGTCTCTAGCTAGGTGGTGGCATTCTCATTTATTTTTTTAAAGGTTAATGTGGCATTGTTTAGAGCTCCCAGGTGCTCCACGAGCACTCAATTGTTGCTGGCTAGTTATAGCTAGTAGCAGGAGCTGTATTGCATGCACTAGGATTAAATAGGAGCCTCGCTCCATTGTTTTTGGAGGGAGAAGGGTATGCGGCATGTGAGCTCTCATAGGAGAGAGAGATAGAGATAGCGTGCAATGCATGCATTACGTAGAGATTGGTGTGTGTGTGTGTGTACACACACATACATACATATATACATACATATGTTGTGCGTGTATATATTTATATGTAAGATATATATATATATATAGGAAAGAAAAGAGATTGAAAGAAAGATACGGTGTTAGGAGCAATCAAGAAGCTTCCTCAAATAGGTGGAACTTAGCTATTGTGGTATTGACGTCGATAAGTACATGGAGTTTAGCTACTCCGGTAATGACATGAATTTTGGTTTAGCTTTGGAATCTAGGTAGGGGAAATAAGGCAGACGTTTACGGAAATTGATTTTATTAAATTCGTGAAGTGCTATAATATTCTTGATCTTTTTGGTTGATTAATATGATTGGATATTAATTGGCTAATTGCTTCAGTTAAGTGTTTACTTGTTATTGGTTATGGAATTATTGCTGGAATGCTATTCGTTGAGAATATACTGTTAAATATGTGAAAGATAAAATGACATTATTTGTGCATCATTCATGTTGATGTGGTTGGAATTTCAATATTCAGATTGGAAGTATGAAAATGAGGGTAGTTGGAAGGGATCTTTTGTGTAGTTGAATCTATTCATTGTGAAACCAGTTCCAGGCAAGCCCGATGTGCACATTAGAATAGGATATCGACGGGAATTGTCGATGTGGGTGATTTAGGCTGGAGATCAATGAATTAGATAAGATGACTAGCAAAAAGGGTTTATGAACTTGGGATATCATATGGAGGTTAGTTTCTATAATAGAATATTCAAACCACCTTTGTAGGGGTAAAATGCATGGTATGGGATGTGCAGGTCCGCATGTTTTATTATATTAACGGGGGTAGTTGAAGAGGTTGCATTGCATTCATGCATTTCTATCGATAATGATTGATATTTGGCTATATGATTTCATGACACTTAATTTAATATTGTCAATTTACTGTGATAAGGTTATGTCCCTACTGAGCTGTTGAAGCTCATCCCTCTATTGTTATGTAGGTTTACGAACTAGACATTCAAGAGGGTAGGCAGGATGAGATCAAATTAGATTGGAGTAGAGAAAGTTTATTCATCTATTTACTATATAGGTTGTAAAGAATTCTTGATTTGTTTAAGAATCATGAATTATTTTAATAAGAGAAGTTCATTTTTCAACCCATGTCAAATTCCTTTTATTTATTGAGCTTTTAACTCACGTTTCGGATTCGGGTTTGAGTTTTTATTACCGATCCCGGGTTCGGGGCGTGACAACTCCCAACTAACATAACAAGTTTCACCCCTAGGCATCAAGAACTCCAAATCATAATCGAGATGAGTGGGGTGAGGTTGAGTCTTTTGAGCAAACATATGGGAAATAACCGAATGAGTACCACCCGAGTCAATTAAAATTCTAGCAAACTGGCCAAGAACATTCAACATACCCATGATCAAATCAGGATTACTCTGAGTATCATGTTTGGTGATGTTGTTGACGCGACCCTGCATTTGTTGTCTTCCTCCACGACCCTTGTTTCCCTGGTTTTGATTACCACGTCCTTAATTGCCTCGACCTTGATTGGTTTGAATAGTTAGCTTGGCCGACCAACCACTGTTAGAAGCTACATTAAGATTCTAGTACTGTTATCCAGCATACCACTGCGCTCAGCAGCCCTGATACAACGTATAACCCCCTAGTACTGTGGATATCCGCCCTGCTAATAGGGAACATCAAGTGGTACTAATACGCTTCTTCTAAATACTGGGATATTTCGGCCTAGTAGTGGAAAACACCACCATAACCTGTCAACGGCTAGGCATTAGAACTTGGAATCTGCTGATCAACTGTAGGTGGTAGAAGGTTGAGTTTTCTGATTATGAGGGCATTGATTAGCTCTGTGCCCCATCTGACCGCATGTGTAGCATCCACTACTTCCCTTCTTACATTCACCATAATGACGATTATTGCACCTATGGCAGAATTGAGCATCAGAATTGCTAGGGTTCCTTTGACTCTGAAAACGTGAATTACTAGTAGACTTACCGCCCATTTGAGGCGTACTAAAATTTAAACCACCACTAGACGATCCAGAACTATTACTACTTCTCTTGAAATTCTGAGTCTTTCGAGGGCCAAAGGATGACTGCCCCCTGTTATTACTCTTCTGAGCATTACTATTATCCTCTTCATCATCATCATCATTATCAGGGCCATTCTTGGAATCTTCAACACGAAGCAGAACTTTAAAGAATTCTTGGTAGGTAGAGCATGGAGTAGAAGTCGCCAAAGAACGCAATCACTTACTAGTCATCTTCATAAAATAATGGAGCATCTCTCTAGGATTCTCAGTGATGATGGGACAATAATGGGATAAGTCAGTGAAATTCCGGTGGCACTTTGTGACTAACATTCTACCTTGCTTCAACTCTGTGAATTTGTCTTTCTTTCGATCCTTGTATTCTAGAGGTGTGAATCTAGCCTCAAATAGGCACCTGAAAACCTCTCAGTCTATGGCATCTTGAGCAGACAACAGGCATGACTCTTGAGCCCACCATGATTCTGCTTCTAGACGAAAGAACCAAGTTAATGTCTCGACCCATCTCTCCGTTGGAAGATTCCCTTGGCGCTGCATAACACGAAAAGTCTTGTCAACATGATCGATCCAAGCCTCGGATTTCTCGAGTCCCTCGTTGCTAAAGAAATTATTTATCTAAAGATGGGATACGGTATCTAAGGTAGTCCTTTGGGGAGGATGAATTATGGACTGAATGGTGTTGGCGATAACCTCATCGAGTTGCTCAAAAATAGGAAAATTAGTCTCAGAAGGGACATGTGGTGAATGATTCTGGCATAAGAGATAAAAAATTATTGGGACCTATAACACATACGAGGAATGCAGGGTTGCCAAACCTATGCTCTGATACCAAACTAACACACCTCAACCGGAGTGCTGGTCGACACCCGAATATGACGTAACCAAAAAGGAAAATGATACATAAGAAAAATATGGATAAATTTAAAACCAAAGCTAACATTTATTTAATCTAAAGTAGCAAGTGCGCATCAATGGGAAGAACCCATAAAACACAAATGTTCGGAGCATAGATGATAGTACAACAAAAGTAGTGCAGTCGAAACTAATTAAAGTAATTAATACACAATCGAGAAAAAAGCCCCTACATCTATCTATGGAAATGTCAGAATACACCGAAGATTCCTCGTATGCCACAGCGAGTTTAGCTATCTAAGTCCTAGAGGGGCAAAAAATAGAAGGGTGAGTGGGCAAAAATAAAGGTTTATAAAAACACATTTATTTCTGAACATACTAACCACTCTCCGTAAAATATGTATAGTTTCCAAAAAATCATACTACATTTAAGTATGAAATCAACTGTAAGTCAACAATAAATCCAAAAATACACCAATCATAATATCTCAACAGTAGCATAAGTAAAATCAAGTGCTCATCAACCTATACTAATACACGAGCTCATGCAGATAAGTTCTGCCATGAACAGGACTTAGTGTAATCATAATATACACTCTAGTACTACAATCACGTGAAGACTGGTGCTAGGCGCATCACATACAAGTCGGAGTTGCCTATTGCAACCTATACAACAAGACTGTCACCTACAATGGATCCAAGGTGAGCGTGCGATGCGATGTGAACGTACACGTGAAGCCCTGGCCCGGGAGAGTACTACACTGGTGCAAGCATGCATGATGAGCAAGTATAATATATATGAACATGCTATGACAATATATAAATCTCAACAATATAATGGCATTTTTTTAAATTAAAAAAAACATGGCATGATATGAGTAAAATTAATCCAAAAGCACATGTGGAAACTATAAACTTTATATATAATATATAAAAACAAATGCCCACTCACTGATACATGGTCGAATTGTAGCCTCCTAGCCTTGCTTGTCCTTGTACCTCCTCGAGGTAATTCTCACCTATATGTGAAACAACTATACTAATTAATTAATTAGGACATACATTAAAAGGCTAAGAGAATCCCCCATAGTTTGCTCAAATGGAAGGTTTAAATATATGAAAACATTCTACTCGATGTCATGGACCTATAGCGTCAACCACGCACCACTCGAAAGCCGAACGCGTCCTCGCGCATCGCCACGCGTCGCCAGGTCATGACCATATGCACACCCACATGCCTGACAAACTGATAGAAACCCTAGGGAATATTCCGTTAAGTTTAATGGCGTCAGAATATTGCGTTAACTTTAACGGAATATTCTCCTTCTTCTTCGGTTGTCCTCCGTCGTCCGCAGTTCGCCGCGACTATTTGGTTTTGCTGGTTTCTGGAAAAAAAATTTAAAACTTCATAACTTCCTCATTTCTCAACCATTTCCAACGTACTTTATATTGAAATGAAGCCCAAAAAGAGGAGAACAAGTTTATACATTTCAAAAGTCCAAAAAGTGGACGGAAATAGACTGAAAAAGCCTTAAAAGTCTCGGACCTATTTTAGTCGTCTTAAAACCATGTGTTTTCACAATGGCTCCACTTCGAACTTAGGCTAGGGACTCCAGAGAGTTTTCTAGATGTTTCCAAACCTTCCAAAACCGTGCAACTCGAACGGAAAATCATTAGAAAAATCTACACTCGAGTCGGAACTTCGAGTTGGACACTCAAAACTCAACCACTTTAAGATCGGCTCGTACAGATGGACTCGTGAGCATGAGGGGAGCATGATAGTGGTGATTTAAGGGTCGATCTTGTGAGGTTTGATGATGATTCTTTGTGTTGCACATGGAAGAGAGAGGCTCGGAGTGAGAGAAGAAGAAGAAGAATAAGAGAAAAAGAGAGGTTTTCTGATTGGTCAAGAAGAAAGAGAGATAAGTTGTCTGATTGGGTGAGAAAATGTGGGAAAGTGATTGATTGGTTGGTGAAGGAGAATAGGGCACGAGACATATTTAAAGAGAGAAGGGGATAAGATTTGTACAAATTTGAAATCACACGAAATCTAACGCGCCTTATAAAAAATAGTAGTTTCCAATACTGAATAATTAGCACGCACGTGTACAAATCTACCCATTGTTAACGCACTTTAACTAAACATAACTTTTTCGTTACAACTCTGATTTAGGTCTAAGTCACGCTCACGCAATGGTAACAACGAGTACTAATTAATTATGATATCAAGAAAAATAATTCAAAAGCCGAATAACTACGTCCACGTCAGGTTCCACTTCTGCCAAAAAGGGCATAAATGTCATTTTACACACTTGAGGATAAAATTACATGGAAAATTAGGGATGGGTCATCACACGAATGCTTCATTTTGGACTTTTGATGAACAAAAGCTAATTTGTTTTGCTCAATTTTATCCAAATGAATTTTTTTTCTTGTCAACTCTTGGCACTTCAAGATTAACGTGGGCATTATATTATTGATATGAGTTTGAATAGTGAATTTTCTCAATTGAAAGGAATTGGTAGTCTTGCAAAAAAAAATAAAAAAAGGGTTGAGACGAGGTGAAATATAGTATATAATCATGTGTAGTTGCTTATTACATTGTGTTTGGTTCTACTGGCTGTTACTGCTTCAGTGAAGAGAACCTTTCTTCTATGAATTGTGAAAAGTCCATTGCGTAATTTTGAATGGAAGGTCAACGGTTGAGTAATAGTATGATTGTTTATATTGAGAGCAGTGTTTTTTCTTCGATTGATAATGAAACTATAATGCAGCGTTTTCAAAATATAAAAACGTGTCGTGGACAATTGTAACTTTTATTGTTATTTGTTTTATAAATTATGAATAATGAAACTACGGTTTAATTTTTAAGGCTATTATACATTTAAGAATGTTTGTGAACTTTTAACATATGACCCCTGAATAATTTTTCTTGGATCTACTACTGCTAGCTCCTATTTGTCAAATTTAAGAGCCTTGATATGCAATACTATAAGACCATTTTCAACTATTGAGCTAAAATACGTCTCGAAGAGAAAAAATATTTTTAAGCTAGATTCACTCTAAAGAGTTTAGCAAGGCTTAATTCCTTTTGGACCTACCAAATCATTTGGGCGAGTGGGCTGGCGTGAGTTAAGCCCAAAAGTTAAAGCTTCATCCCCAACTATTAAAGTTGGTCTAAGAGTGATGTTGCATAAAAAGTTTTAAGTAATTTTTAGTCAGAATTCAAAGTTTGACAACATCAGTCGCTAAATAATTTGAACAGAATTCTTGGTGAATCATTTTGCAATATTAGGACACCGCCGGTAATCCGTCACATGAGTTAGATACCATATGCTTGTGTAATAAAACTTCCACATTTCTTTTTGCTAAACATGTCATTTACCAACAAAAATGAACTTCTATTTTTTTAACAAACGATAGTATCTGTCCTAGGGATAGGGAAGTGGGTTAAGCCTTACAATGCGCTAGTCATAATAATGTAGTTCAACTTGATCTCTGAAGAGAATTAGATCTAAAATATCTTACTTACAATAAATATTGAAATTCAAATAGAAAAAGAAAATTGATTAGCGATGTATGAAAACCAAGATTATTTTAACATAGCTTATGTTAAAAAAAACACGACATATATACACTTGCAAGCTTAGTGAAAGTTACGTTAAATGCTGCCATAACAATAGCAAACGAGATAGGTGTCGCTTTTGTATAAATTGTTAATTGTGTATAACAATATTGCAGAAATGCTTGGTGAAAACAAAGGAATTAACTTGGCTCCTCAACGGTTGAGGAGTAGTTTAATTTATTTTGTGGTCGATTTACAAAACTTCGAGTTTATGGTCAGAACTGTTAATATTATAAATGACTTTATCAAATCAAGATCATTTCTACAAAAAATAAATAAAATACAAGATCCTTTAATCATCAAACTATATAAAAAAACAAATGAACGAAATCGTAAAGCATTACGGACCGTCTATCTGTTTACTACAATTGATTAATTCAACGACTTTAGTTTTAATTGATTTTTATAAAGATGATATTTACAAAATGATTTATTATATAAACAATTCCGATCATAAACACAAAGTCTTGTGAAACGAATAAAAAATGAATTGAGGAGTAACTCCTTAGGAGCCAAGCTCGTCTCGAAAATAAAAGGGCAAAATGGACTAAAGATCCCAAAGCCCCACATGTAGGTGTAAAACAAATATGCAGGGGATGGTCAAAAGCGCATTTGGGTATGTTTTCTGCATCTAGAGTTTCTAACTTTCTGCCAATTGACAAGGAGCGTTCCCTGTGCCTCCTGTACGAGTCCGAATGTTCATCCACCTTCCCACCATATGGAGAACGTCATCTTCCTCGGCAGTCCCTGGAATAAGGATCTCTTGTCTTGAAACCTACGACGTGAATAGCTCCGTGATCATCTGCGGTCATGATCACGGTCACGTCCTGCATCTTTGTAAGCCGTGCTTCATGAGATATGAATATAAGAATACTACAGTATCTCAGTCCTAGTCAAAACAGTAACACTGCCTTCCATTTGCGGCTGCTTCCATATGGATCATAATCATCGCGATGGACGGTCCATAGCAGCATATGCAACGAGAAGAATTTTTGATGCCTCCAGTGTACTTAAATAGTAAGGTTAATAAGCAACCATGGAAGACGCTGCTGCCAACAAAGAAACATGAATAACCCTTTGAATCTCAACGCAGACGCTAATGTCGTAAATGGGATAGTTTCAACTCTTTAGAGCTTAGATTGTGAATTCGATGAAGCTATGGTGACCAGACCTGCTGCTAAGCTTATCAGGCAACACTTTCCTGCATTTTCTCTGGAACCGAACAAAATTTATCCAAATCAAAACATCAAACTTATATATAGCAGTTAACTCTTGGAACAACTCTATGTATACGAACTTAATTAGGACCAGTAAGGATAATTAGAAGAAGTAAATAAAGACTTCGTCCTGTTGAGGACTTTCAGAAAATATCATGGGTTCGAATCCCGTCGGTGACTAATCTAACATCTAAAAAGGTCGTACCCAGTGCACAAGGCTCCCGCCTAAGTATAACCGACACGTTTGTGTTGGAACAGAGAGAGAACCAAAACGAGAATGGCAAAGACAAAATCACATCACTTAAAACTGAAAGGCAAGGGGTCACAACATTTAGTTCCATATGCTAATTTTAGTTTTTATAGAAAGAAAAAACCTGTCAGAAGTTACAACAAAGAAAAAAAGGTTTTCTAAGAAAGGAAAAGAAAAGCCCCAAAAAACTTGACAACTCTGTGTCTCTTCCTCTCATGTTTCCCTATCTACTTCTATAGTTGTATCCAAGGTTATCGAACCTGGTATAAGATACAGTATCATGATGCAGCCATCCAAAATTGTAGCATGGTTCTTCAAAATGAAAGCTGGAGACACTTGTTGAGTACCAACAACATTCTTCGGCGCATTCCACCAATTCTACCCTCTGGCGTCACCACTAATCCCACCAGGTCTGCTTCCACAACGACACACATCCCTGAAAATTGCATCCCCATTTAATATGTTAATGCAGCGGTTGAAACTCCAGGCTGGTTCTCTAACTCCAGGGACAGATTTTATATCTAGTCAAAATCAGTGGACTTCTGATTCAGGGAACATGGCAGAGAATTGGTTGAAAGTTCGACTAACTCACGCCTAAAACCATTACTTAGAGATCCCAACTCTGTTACGTCATCATCACTATCAATGTGTTTTGGAGTGACACGATTTTGATAACTTCTGCGCTGGACAAGAAACACATTGAAGTAATAGGTGACCAAATCTTCCCGTGTTTTTCTAGGAAACCACTTGGATGCACTATCCCAAAAGGAAGAAGAATTTGAGTTATTTCCCTCAATAAAAGGAGAATTTGAGTGATTTGACTTTACCAAATCCTTGAATCTCTTTTCTTCTTCAGCTGTCCACCGAAGAGAAACTTCCTCACCCATTCGATCAAATCGCCAATTATAGAACAAGGAACCAAGTTCTCTCTTCAATTTCATCTTAGCCTCAGTAATGTGAAATCTGAAACATGCAACAGAATCTGGAAATCCACAACAACAACTATCTTGTCTTCCTTGGCCAATGGCATCTGTTTCATTAGGGAGGCTGTCTTCTTCACGTTTCAAGGGCCATACCCGTGTGCCTAGCCATTTACCATCACTTTCAGAAGCCACACCAGTCCATTCAGGGACATCAGCTTGAGCGTGAGCGCCTACAGAGACATCCTTTTCGCGGGGATTATCCTCAGACGCCGTATCAGTGGCCAATAAATCAACTTCTGCAGGTGCTTGCTCCACAGAATCGTTTTCCACCTCTTTTTTATGGCAACAAGGGCATGAGCGAGATTTAACTGAATGAGGAAGCCTTTCACTACATCGTAACCTCCCTGAGCACTGGCGACCAGCAACAATATTATCTTCAAACAACAATGGATGCGTCTTGAGCTTCTTCTGCAAGTTTAGACCATGATCTGTTTATAAAATTGGAAACTAATTTAATTTCATATGTGAATATTCACAGTTCCAGGAAAACAAAAATTGGAGCAGAAAAGGAAAAGGAAGAGTATAGCTAGACAAACTTGATGAACCAGAAGCACCGGACCAAAGAGTGGATATTGCTGAATTAAGTAGGGTTGATGTGTGAACTATCTGCAAACCTGTTTAGGTTTACGAGTGCCATGCAGTTCCCGAAAAAGTATATTAGCAGAACACAGATTACAAACTAATGCAATGCCCTATTAAGGTGGATGATGATATCATATTGTGGAGGTTAACTTACTCGAGGCAGAAACAATGGCAAATTATCACAGGGGATGATTTTCATCATCTCATTAATAACTTAAAATTTTTAAAGATACAACAACAACTCTTTAATTTCAAAAGATAAAAGTTACGAAGCAAGAAGAGTATACTCGAAAGACTAACTATACTATGCATATCAAATTCAAGAAATGGCTGTAGTCGAGAAGCAAAAGGAAAAACTCTTTAGACAAACACACAAACAAACAAATGTACCTGCTGGAGATATTCTTCAGTCTTTGAATTAACATTCCTTCTTATCAGCAATGCCTCTTTTGCTCTAATTGCTTGCACCCAGCACTCATCATCGCTCCTATGCTCTTTCCACTTAGTTGGCTCTGGTATTGCTCCAATTGAAGGATCATTTGGTTGCTTTGCAATCTGGCCTACCCAATTCAGCATTCCTACTAAGGATTCTCGCTTTCTTTTACGATCATTTTCATTTTTATTGAGACTAGAGAGTGATATCATAACATCGTTCTGATCGTCATTACAAACTTTTTCGTCATCATCACCATTGCATTCTCCAGATTCTAGATGAACCTCTCCATCACTTTTTCCCTTCTGCTCGGGCCAACCCGACAACAAACCTCTAAACTCTCTCTCCAACTCCGAAGACAACGGATGCAAATTCCCTTTGCATCCAGACTCCCCATTTCCCAAGCTCCTAGTTCCACAAATCTCCGTAAACCATTTCTCCAGCTCGTTCAAATATTTAAAGTAAATCAATTTCACAGAACACATTACTTCCGGATCAACACCCAGTTCAACAGCAACAAAAGACCACAAACTGTTATTCGAAACCAAATCATACCCACCTCTATCCTTCACCACACAGAACAATTTGAACAAATCCACAGGTTGCCTATCATCAATCACGGCAGGGACAGGCCTAACAACACCATCTCTATCACCAACTTCCTTAAGAAAAACAGCCAAGACTTGATGAAATATACATCTCAGCCTACCCTTTTGATCACCCTCATCAGAATCCACACCATCTTTTACAGAACCAACATCATTAATTTCAGGAAAAACACCATCTTTCTGACATGTATCAGTAGTTTCGACGCAATCTAAGACAAACCCAGTTGTTAAGGATGACCATCCTGCCATGAACTTCGATTTGACTAATGAAAACCCAACAAGAATCTTTGTCCCAAAAAGTCAAATTCAAACCTAACAGAAACTGAAAGACTTCAAATTTTGGGGCAGAGGGTGTGAGACCCTTTGCCCTATTTGATTTGCAGAGTGTTTCAGAAATGTTGTTTGTTACCTGAACATTTCTGGGTTGCTTTCTTTTTGGTTTTGGCTTTGGAAAGCAACCACCTTCCTGAATCTGCAGAGCTGCGGTCCTGCGGAGGCGGAGACGAGGGAGTGAGCAAAGCACAGGAAAGCCTCCAGAAGACGTTAAAAAAAAAAAAAAAAGACAGCGGGTGACGTTACCAGCCACGTGTCCCTCAGAGCTCCAACGTGAAATGGAAACACACCATTCTGACCGTTTTACCCCTATTTCTCTCTGCTTTGACTCTGGCGGAGGAAGGAACCTGGGAAGACGATGCCAGCGGAAGACTACGACGACGACGACCCTTGGCGGACGAATACGACGGCACGGTAGAGGCCGTTCAGTTCGCAAACTTTGCGGGAGGAGATGGTATTGTTCCTTTGGGTTTTCATCTTGATCTTAGCAAAAGGGGTAAAACAGGAAACTTAAGTACGATTAAAGTGGAAAAATAAAAGGTTGATTTTTTTCCTTTTCTTTGGCCAAAGAAATAGAAGGTTCATTTTTACTTCTGTTTCGCGATATTAGAGCAACTCCATCGTTAGAGTCATTCCCACGTAATACATTATGTTATCTACTTAGTGAACAGTAATTGTCTTAATGAACAGTAATCCCTCAGGCAATAGACTTTTGCATCTCCACCATTGCACTTCAATAGCCCTGACAATAGGCAATAAAATATTAGTTTTTTTTTTCTTCTAAATAATACAAAATAATTTTATTTATAATTTCGGATATGATTTTTAATCGGTCTCGTTGTACTATTTTCTATTAAAAAATTATTTTTATTATTTCTTTTCATATGGTGCAGCACACCATTCCAAAACCTTTTTTTTATTAATTTTTTTCTTCTTTTCACATGGTGCCAACGCACCATTTTTTCTTCAAGCTCGCAACACCCCCCCTCCACACCCAGTTTTCAACCTGTCTCCCCTCCGGCCCCCAACACACCAATCCCTCCTCACCTATCTTCCTCCATCTTCACCACGCTCACCGCCGCCGCTCTTCCTCCATCTTCACCATGGAATTAAATATCGATATTATCGGCGAAATATCGCCGATAATATCGTTTTTTTCCAACAGCGATATTTTCAGAGTATTCCAATTGATTATCGTGATAATATCGATAATATCGCTCCTCTCTCTCCGTCGTCGGAACAGCAGCCGAGCTCCGTCGTCGCAGCTGCCAAGATCTGCGCCTCTCACAGGTGGTGATGGTGCTCGCCGGAGTGTGCGCCACAGTGGAGGTCACGGTGTCGTCCGCCATTCTCGCAGAGGTGGGAGAGAGAAGACTGATGATGTGTGATGATGGTGGTGTCGTCCTCGAGCTGCTCGAGTCGAGCAGATGGTGTTGCTGCTGTGTGTGTGTGTGGTCACGGCAAGAGAGGGAGAGAGGTAAGAGGATTTTGAGAGAGAGAGAGAGAGTGCAGAGAAGAGAGAGAGAGAGTCGAAGTGAGTGAGAGAAGGAAATGGCTTGGTCCCTGGTGTGGATTTGCACTTTGAAGTGTGTTTGTGCGTGTGTGTGTAGAAGTGGGGTGTGTGTGTGTTATCCGAGAGAAATCCACACTTTGAAGTGTGTGTCTGTGCGTGTGTGTAGAAGTGGGATGTGTGTGTGTGTGTGTGTGATTGAAGTGTGTGTCTGTGCGTGTGTGTGTAGAAGTGGGATGTGTGTGTGTGTGTGTTATCCGAGAGAAGAAAAAAAAAATCCAAACCTGCTTTCAAAATATCCAGCACATGTGTCAGTCCGTGTGTGTTATCCGAGAGAAAAAAAATGCAATGTATAAAGTGTAAAATATTGTACTAATTCATTATATATAAATGATTATGGTGTGTTTAAATTTCTTTAATTAATTACTACATATTTTCTACACTTACAATGTTTGCCAGCTCGCTATATAATTAACTTGATAATGTTAAATCCATCATGCAATGCATTTCCTTCCATTTTTGTGTGATAAACTAATAGATAATTCACTAAATAAACATCCTGCAAAGTTTCAATAAAAATTTCCAAGTTTTTCTTACAATTTCCGTGGTTTCCATGTAATTTTTATTGATATCGATATTATCCCGATATTTCCATCGATATTTCCGTGTTTTCGGACTATCGATATTTCCGATATTACCGATATTTTCTTCCTTGATCTTCACCATCACCGCCGCCTCTCTTCCTCCATCTTCACCATCCCACCCACCTCAGCCTCCATCAACGGTCCTGATCTCCGGTGATCTAGCTCTGCCATTTTTTTGTGCCATTTTTCAAGCTCAGCAGCTCCCACACCTCAGCCACCCATCTCTGCCATTTGTCTGTGGGTGTTCATCACCTCGGCGACGAACTCCAGCTAGAGCCATTGAGTTCGAAGATGGGTTTTACAATTTTTTAAATTTTTTAAATTTTACTTTTTTTTTATTAATATTAATATTTTTATTAATTTTATATTATGACTGACATCGCCTTGCGTCAGATACACTCGGGCTCTCGGGCTGGCAATTCCTCACAGGCCCGCTGCTCAGGCCTCCACAGTCCCTCGGGCTCGCCCACGCTGGAGTCCACAGCCCGGCCTCTAGGGCCCTTTTTCCTTGCCTGTCCCCTGAGCAAACTCCAACGGTGGAGTTGTTCTTATTCTTTGAAATTGGTGGATTTGGGGATTTAAAAATTAGATGCGTCTATATAGAATTATCCCGTCTTTTATTTTTCGAGTTAATTGGCTTTCAAAACTTTAAATAACCTTTAATAAGGATATACGACGTTATTCATGCTTTCTATTGTACTTTTGATTTTTAATTCAAGAGTATAGCCATACACTTGCGCTAAAGCGGAAGGGTTAAAGGCACGTACATGACAAGGCGCGGTAAGAGCTCTGACAACATATTCAAAATTAATAAAATATATTTAAAAAATTACAGATCGGCACGTGATATGGAAGGGTTGGTTTAATCTACTAATATTAGCAGATTTTTTTTTAAAAAAAAAGATGTAATTGGCACTTTAAAAAAAATCTCATTATATACTCTTCACAAATCTATATTTCTTTCTAAAATTAAGATGTTTTTCAGTTCGCCAGGTTGTCTTGCCTGCCCATGGATTAAGCAGCAGTTCGAAAGGTTAATCTATTTGGTATAGAAAGTTTGGAGTGCCAATAACAATTCCCAAAAAGAATATATAGGCCCTATGTTCAAATCACCCATGTTTGGTAGCTTAATTTCACCAAAAATTGTTTCACTTTAAAGTTAAGCAATAAAAAAATAAAAAAAATTGATGAAAATAAAACATCATGCTTATTTAAATGACCTCTAGACATCAACTTTTATTGCTTTTAAAAGTAGCCTGTAAGTTGCTTTAATAAAGAGCGGAGTGAGCTTGTAATGAATATTTTAAATTCCTATAATACCCTTATTAGTTTTGAAAAATGAAAAAGTGACCGACCCCACCTACTACTACAAACACTAAACTTACGGACTGTATTTAAGTTCCGACAGTAAGGATGGTTAAGGAAGAAGATGAGTGACCTAGGAGAAGAAGATTGCCAGCTAAATTCTCCTTGGGTAGCCAGCCTCTTCAAGGAAAGAGAGTGCTAACTATAAGCTTCGTGTTGATCGAGTTCACTGAGATTACATCGGTGAGACTCGCCGGTGTTTGGGCACAGAAATCAGATGCTGCACCACCTTAAACCCTTCGATTTTGACTTTGAACTTCACACATGAAGTCTGGAAATTCGCCAAGGACTAAGGTTTGGTAACTAGGGTCGATTTTCTCAGATTTCACCGAGGTTCCACTGGATTTCCTCGTTGGAAACACTGAGGATGCAAACAGAAATTCATAAGGGTTAAAACCTCGAAAGTGTAGCTTGATCAAGTTCATAGGGACTAGAAAGGGTACTTGAAACGGATGAGAAGATTTCTGAGTAAAAATTGACAGTCGGAGTGTCTAGTTTTAGTTTGCGTTCACCGAGAAATATGGAGCCCTCTGTTTAGCTCCTTCCCGTCATTGGATTGGATATGCAGAGCCATCCTTCAACTCCATAGGTTACCTAGATGGTGAATTGGTGGTTTCGAGTTGGTTCTGGTCAGGAAAAATGGTGATCGGGAGTGATGGTGTTCAGTGGCTTAGAGAGAGTGACAGAGAGAATCGGAGTTCGAGAAAGAAGATGAGTTGCAGAAGTGAGAAGGGAGGAAAATCAGAGTAGGGTAATTCTCACTTAAAATATATTTAACTGAAACTATGATAATACCCTTCATCAACTTAAAATTATAACTTAACTTCCACAACTCTGAATTCAATTTTGCCTTCGCCTACGCACTCGTAAATAAGCAACCTAATATGATAAAATAAGAAAATCTGAGAAAGTAGAAATTAATTGAAAAGTCTGTATTTACTCAAGACACCCATTAAGGGCATTTTGGTCGGGTCATATTTTCAGAAAAAAGATATTTTAAGGTACAGGTTATAACAATTTGGGTTCTGATCGAGCGTCGAATGTCCAATGGCCGTGTGTTGTGGGTGTGTCATTCACGGTCTTTGGGATTTCTTCGATGGTTTTCACCACTTTTCGACCACCTTTGGGGGTTAGCTCAGGTATAAAATTTCTCCCCTAGACTTGTTTTACATGCTGTGAAGTTTGGTGAATTTTGGAGCTAATCAGAAAATTTGGTTTTCGTTTGCTAGAACCACCGCGCATTCGATTTTCATAATTGAGGTCGATCCGACCGTCCCTATGCAATTTTAATATGTTGTTGTTCGTACTATTTGAGAACCTTAGGAACTTACGAATCGGAAATCCAATGTATGGACCTTTTGAATTGGAGAATCTTGGATTATTGACCCTTGTACGGTAGTCAATGATCAGATTGTTAGATCGTTACCAAATTATAATATGTTATTGTACGTATTATTTGAATACATTAGCAACTTACGGATTAGAAATCTGATGTACGGATCTTCTGGATTGAACATTCGGATTGACGAATCTTAGATTATTGACATTTGTAGTTGACATCAAATCCAACCGTTAGATCGGTACAAAATTATTATATGTCGTTGGGTGTAATAGCTGAGAATATTAGAAATTACATATCGAAAATCTGGCATACGATCTTCCAGAAATGAATTCATACGTTTATAGAACCAATCGTTGATTGCTACTTAAATTTATGATTGGCGGAGATTCGATCGTTGGTTTGTTACAAAGTTTTCATATGTTGTTGTAGAAACATATTGAGACTCTTAGGAAGTTATGGATTGGGAATCCAGTGGGTAGATCTTCCGAATCGAGTTACGTAGGGTTGTCGACCCTATGGTTGGCCATGTTGACCGAGGGTTGACTTTGGGTCAAATTTTCCGAGTAGCTTTTAAATACTGAAATTAGTATTAATTGAAACCCTATAGAGTTAGTGGACTTATTCCCGTTAACGGGTCATCCTAGGGATGTGCACCTTGGTTTGCATGCAAGTGACAGTTTACAAGGAGTTTCATGTTTATTTGGCTTCTAGATGAGAGTGATGATAAACTGTAATTGTTAGTATGAGTAATGAGTCGAGGACCATACTTGAGTTATATCGTAGAACATGTATATCTGTGTGACTGGATAATTGTTGTCAAGTGGATGGAATTGTTAAAGTGATTAACAGTGGCAATCTATGATGAAATATTGTATGACGTAGAATGTATGATGCTTGATGTCTGATCATACTATTGCACCATGAAGCAGTGTGGTACATGGACGATCTTGCTCGGTATATCCACGATGGGGGACCGTACGTATTATAGGGGTGATTATGCTTGGTATATTCTCGATGGATGATCAATGCCTACACGATTAGACTATGCTTATGGTTCTGCTTGGTACATCCGCAATGGGGGACCATACATATTGTAGGAGTGATCATGCTTAGTATATTTGCGATGGGTGATCACTACCTAGAGTTATAGGAGATGTGACTGCTTGGTATATCCGCGATTGGGGGGGGGGGCGGACCATACGCATTGTAGGAGTGATCATGCTTGGTATATTCGCAATGGATGATCACTACTTAGAGTTATAGAAGACGGTCTTGCTTGGTATATTAGCGATGAGGGACTGTACGTATTACAAGGATGATCATGCTTGGTATATCCGCAATGGGTGATCACTGCCTATACGATTAGACTATGGCTATGGTTCTTGTTGGTATATTCGCGATGGGGGACCATATGCATTAGAGGAGTGATCATGCTTGGTATATCCAAGATGGGTGATCACTACCTAGAGCTATAGGTTATGGTCCTGCTTGGTATATTCGCAATAGGGGCCATACATATTTTAAATGTGATCATGCTTGGTACATCCGTGATGGGTGCTCACAGCTTGCCTAGAATTGTATGGACTGATTGATAATTCCGTGATTGGCGACCACTTTCTAGTTTGGTTTTGTTGAGTTAGTTCGAGACCTTAGATTCTAGCGAATATAGATTGCTCATGGTAGACATTTGTGTTTGTAACTTAGAGTTACAATGTTATTGCTTGAAATCCAAGTAGGGGAAATATGAGGATTTGCTGTATTAAGCTTCGTGAATTGATACTTGATCTTATTGATTAATTAACATAGTTAAATTATGCATCTTTGAGTCATTGAATTGATTATTTGCTATGATCGTGAATATGGGTTTGAAAACATTGTGATGCATGTGAATGACAAAATGACAACCTTGGTCATGAATTGATTGCTTTAAGAAACTGGAATCAATGCTTGTCAAGTCCTATTAATTGATTCTAGAATTCTATACTTTTCTGCTAGAAAGTACTATGATAATTGTCGAGGCCTATTGAATAGTGAACTACGAATGACTTGATTCCGTCTAAGGGTACGTAGGCAGTCTAACACAAAGGTTAGATTTAGCCATATAGTAAACAAAAAAATTACTACATTATTGGACCTGGATTTTTGTGTTGTTCATGTCTCGGAGGCGGGACATGATAGATGTACAAGTATGTGGTGACGTCACGTGTCGATCCTGGACGTATCTCAGGATCGGGGCATGACACTATCAATTATTTTGGTTATTATGTGAAAATCTCCATGAAATAAGAATAAAATAACAAAAATACCCGTAATTTTTGTCCAATCATTTTGGTTCATTGTTTATTAAATTGAGGGTGTTTTTGTTATTTTGGTCCTTATCTAATGGTGGACAAACCCAATGATCACTTTTATCGATTTCAAATCTCTAAGACTAAATTAACGAGTTATGTCAATCTCAAGGACCATCTTGACTTAAAAGCGTTTCAAATTTAAAGTATTTGGAGGCCAAATCAAAGCGTTTTTATAAGTAAATTTTTCTCGAAAGGATTATCTTTGCCCAAGAATGTGTAAATAACGTCACCCTTTTCATTTTGCTTTTTTGTCTTCCTTCGCTTAATCTAGTCATTCCTCAAACTCAAATTGGGTAACATGTACTCTTAATGGTTAAATGAAGATAATGGGAATAAAATGGAAGACGTAAACAACTTTATTAAGAATAAATTGTTAACATACAAATACAATACACAAGTACAACAACATTGCAAAAATACTTGGTGAAAATGTACTAAAGATCCCAAAACCCCACATCTAGGTGTAAAACTAACAAATGCAGGGACGGTCAGAAGCTCATTTGGATTAATTTTCTCTATCTAGGGTTTCTGCCACAGGACAAGGTGCGTTTTCTGCGCCTCCTGTACGAGTCCCAGTGTTCATCCACCCTCATACCGTATCGAGAGCGTGATGTTCCTCGGCGGTCCCCGGAATAAGGATCTCTGTCTTGAAACCTACGAGGTGAATAACTTCACTATCGTCTAGGGTCATGATCACGATCACGTCCTGCATCTTTGTAAGCCATGGTTCACATGAGATGTGAATCCACTCAAACAAAGCATTATAATAGGCTCTAATCCAAAAATTAGCTATGGCGAACTCGATTGTACACCCGAAATGCAGATTGTTCAGATCTAGAGGGCCAGGCATAAAATAACACAGTAGACCTCCTGCGGTAGTGTGTGTAAAAGGTTACAGGGAGAGGAGTGACAAAAGCTCTAAGTAAGAGTTCGGTTTTGTGACCAACCCATGTTAAGGTCAGCAACAATGCACAATTGCTAGAAAATTAGAATATTGATCCATGCCTGTACCTCGTTTATCTCTCAAACCTTGATACCTTCCAGGATTTGGAGTCCTCCCTCGTTTCCTTTTTGCCTGCACATTTACACAAACACAAAATAGCGTCATGCAAGATAAATACGTGAATAGATGACTCGAAGTGAATAAAAGATAGGTAAACAAGTCAACAATCTACTTAAAACAGTAACAGTGCCTTCCATTTGCGGCTGCTTCCATGTGGATCATAATCATCGCAAAGGACAGTCCATAGCAGTGCATTAAATAGTAAGGTAAATAACAACCATGGAAGACGCTGTTGCAAACGAAAGAGAGGAATAAAGGGCATTCAACCCTCGGCAAAATAGTTGAGTTTGTATTGATGATTATTGAATGTCGACGCAAATACTCATGTCGTGAAGGGGATAGTTTCGACTGTGTAGAGCTTAGATAGTGAAAGCTACAGTGACCAGACCTGCTGCCAAAACTTGTTAGGCAACATTTTTAAGAGGTAAAATCTTCATAAGAAAAAAGTATAAACAATTCAACAGCATACTGCACAGAAACTTTCTTGATCATTTGACAGAAACTAATACCTTTTCAACTGTAACTAATCGACCTTGAAGCACAGACCGATCCAAATATTTGATGCAGCGTTCTGCATTCTCAACAGTTTCCATTGCGACAAAGCCAAATCCACGAGATTCTTGGTTGCGAGGGCCTGTAACCAGATGGCAGTCCGGTACCTGAAACAAGAGCTCATATGTGATTCTCTAGGAATATAATATGTATTAAGGTTCTCGAAAGATTATTACTTTCCAAATTGACATGAAGCAATTAAATATGTGAAGTCTAATAAAGAAAGGACAAGATAGGTAAAAACATTATGTTAGAAGCTAGAACAGTTATTTTTACAACCAAGTAGTAAGGCTTCACTTGAATATCAGGACTAAAGTGTAAAGGGAAAGGAAGCCATTAAATTTCCACAAATGCGTTGAACAGAGTATTTAGGTTTGGATAAAACAGAAACCATAAAACCAAAACAGGTTAAAAATAGGGATTTGAGATTTCCAGTATACCTAGAACGACTTCTCCTAGACCTCGACAATGATCTCGACCGGCGGCCTCTGACAGGTGCAGGAGAGCTGTGTGGCGAACCGGACCTAAGTCAATAATCACCAAAATCAATTGAGCAATTGTGGGACTAATATCATTGATTCAATATGTTCATTTTACCAATAGCAAGACCCTGCCTCCAACCATATATTCATTTTACCAGCCACAAATAATGTAGGTGTATTAATCAGTGATAAATTGGTTTTAGATTCATAGATTAGTCAAATGAACAGCTTCATTAGGATCACTGTTACTTTCTAGGTGGTGATTAACACCTAAAAGTACATAATTCAGCTATAAAAAGTTTAAATTAAACTGAATGGAACGCATAATTAAGTTTCGAAAACAAAAAACTAGAGAAAAACATACTTGAAATCTCATTTGGTTTCTGCATTCTCTAGAACCTAACAAATGATACTACAAATCAAAACTTGAAACTCTTTTCGTTTGCTGTTAAATCAAACACATTTACTCGAAATATTCTAACTATATATGAACATCATTTTTTTATTGGTCAAACGAGCGTTAAAGAGCTTCAAAGCTCTAGATGGAAACTAGGGAGAAAGATTGTATGAAGATTTACCTCCGGCTGTGGCTGGTGGGATTGCTGAGTGAACTCGGATACCCTAACTGGACGAGAAGAAAACAGCCTCAGACCCAAAAGGAGAGAAAATGTATAAACAAATGCAAATTGGGCGATTTTCCTCAGTTCCCACGTGCAATGTGGTGCAAGAGCAATACTCCTCTTCACCACTGTAGTAGAAGGCCACTTGCGAAGAAGCTCATTCACTTTCGTGTTTTCTTCCTTTTCTTTTCCATTTTTGTTTACTGTCCACCTAAAAGTTCACACAAAATCCATTCATGATAAATGTGTATCAGCAATGTGAATTAGTTCTAAACGGTTATGGATTACTCTTGACAATGATCAGTCGCCTAGCGCCAAGAATGTGTAAACAACATCACCCTTTTCATTTTCAATTTCATTTTTTGTGTACATCTAGTCATTCCTCAAACTCAAATTAGGTCATATGTAGCTCTCAATGGTTATATGAAGATCAATGGAATGGAAGATACGGTTTTGGTTGATTAGAAATTACGCAGAAATTGGAAATCCAGGTTCCATAGCACTAACTCTAGGCGTGCTTGCCAGTTACCACAATCTGCCACTAGCGTGGATGGCTTTCAACCGTTGATGCAAATAGAGCCTGTAAGGTCAACGGTTCAACGTCATCCACGGACAGGGCAACTGTCGCTGACATTTCTAACGACTGTGATCGGTAAACACATCCTATACACGCAAATTGAACCATCAAACTTAAGGGCGAAGAATATAACGATTAGACACCGAGTTGAATCGAACCACAACAACCAGTGCATTGAAATATATAACTCAAAAGTTTGAACAATTTAAGGTCAATGTAAGTGGCAATGAAGGAAAAGTACAAAGAATGGCAGACGGATCGACAACGAAAAAAGATAAAAACACTCGACATCCGCTGCTGAGTTTACAAATACTAAAGAAAAAACATAAGAGATACAAAAATTATAAACATATAAAACAGAATCAATCCTTGAGGAGAGTCTCCATGGCTTCAAAGAAAAGAGGTGCTGTCTCCGGGCTTGGAGTCTTGATTGCAATCTTGACCCCGGGGTTATTCACGACAGTGGTGAGTTCAATCAAGAACGGTATTCCTCGAGGGATTTTTGCTGAGAAATAGAACACGTCCTGGTTGGCATGTTTGCGTTTCGCAATGAAGAACATGTTTGTAGCAGCCAGGCGGTCCAGAGTCGCCTCAACATTGCTCACCACAATTCCAGGTAAGTCCTTTGTAATCTCATTTGTGTCCGGAAGAGACCTCCATGTCTGCAACGGGGATAAGCATGAGAGTTTTAAGTGCTACAAGTTCCAGACTATACTGCTTTTCCGAAAACATTTACCCCCGTTTTAACTTCTCTACCACAACTTTGTGCTTTAAAATTCCCACTTTAATCAACAGCCTACTTTTTTACCCACTTCAACTTCATTCCATCATATTCCTCTCGAGTTTTTTTAACTGAAAGGAAATACGGCAACCAGGCACAAAAGCAAAGCATTGCTGTAGTAATGGCCCTAATGGGATGTTAGGTGTCCATTGTTGTCGTATTCTATCATCTCCCAAACTTAGCTCCCTTCCAAGTCTAACTAAACCACGTCATTGTAAAATAAAGCAGTTGAGCGTTTAATAAACTCTATTTTTAAAAGTGTTGTATGAAAAGCATTGTAAAAGTGTTCGGTAAATTTTAATGTAATAGTTTGATATAACTGTATATAATGACAAAAATGGACATGGTAGTGAGGGTGGTGGCGATGACAGCTGTGGCAAGGGCAGTGGTGGTGCCAAAATAATGGTTGTGGTGGTTGGGTTGTAGAGGTAACAATGGTGGTAGGGGCGGTGGCAGCTGTGGCTGTGGCAGTATTGGCTGCAGGGGTGCCGATTGTGGTTATGGTGGTGACGGTGGCGGTGGTAGCAACGATAGCAGTGACGGTGGTGGCAACAATAGCGGTGGCAATGGTGGTGGTGGCGGTTGTGATGGAGTTGGTGGCGGTTATGGTTATGGTGGTAGCAACGATGGCAGTGGTGGTGTAAGGTTAGTGTTTGTAGTGGTAGGTGGTGGTGGTCACTTTGCTCCCCTAGGGATAAAATGAGTGTAGAAGGTTAAACAATGTCATTTTTCAAAATCTAATGAAGGTATTATAGGAATTGAAAATATTCATTAAACGCTCACTCCACTTTTTATTAAAGCAGGCCACTGCTTTTAAAATAAGTAGGAGTTCACCAAACACTTTTATATTGCTTAACTTTAAAGTGAAGCATTTTTTGATGAAAAAAAAGCAATACCAAACGGGGCCCTAGTAGTAAGTGTCGTGAAGTTCAAACATTGACCATGAAAACGACCCTACACTAAAAGTTGAAAGGAAGCAGAAGGTGCATGATGATTTTACCTCAAGAAAGTTTGCACGCTCCATTCTTCCATCATCAGTAAAGAAGACGTGCAATGAGATTTTATCGTTAAAGTACCAGACTGGTTGTTGATTGTTTTTCACAGCAACCTGCAATAGTGAGCTTGGAGGACCTTGAGACATATTCTGGAACGTAACCATAGGCAAGAGAGTCCCCGCTGATTTCCCAGGTTGCAATTGTGGAACCTAATAGGCATTAAGGTATTTTGTTACAAATTTTATTTGGTGAGAAATCTCACACAATTTACTTGTTTAATAAGTACCTGAAGGGGTCCAGCAGCTGCAAGACCAAATGTATTTTTGTTGAACTGAATCATGAACCCATCTAGTGGAACCTGTGTGTTGTTCTCGAACAATAAACTGTAAAATATTTGTCCTTCCCTACATGTCAACTGAGCACTGATTTGTAAACCTTGACCAGTTGACGCTGGGAGAACGACAGGCAACGGAGGTCTGCAATCAAGGTCAGAAAATTAAGTTATTTTGATACTTTACATTGGACAATGACTATTGCGGCATTGAAATTAAACCACTGGATCGCTTTATCAAACAGTTCATATGCAATTTTTTGTTTTGGACGAAAGCTCATAGCTAATTTTCACACAAATTGGAAGGCAATATCACCCACAGCCAGCAGAGTCAGTCCACTCCACATAACAAAGAATCTGTCACATAAATAAGATCACTATGCAACTTCGATTATACTTACCCAGCGGGAGAAGCAGGTTGATCCACAGGGACAATAGCACTGTTTTCCAGGCCCATCAGGTCACCAAGCAAATCTGGTACTGGAGCAGCAGGTGCAGGTGCAGGCGAAACTGGTGTAGGTTGTCTAGCTGCAGCATATGGAACACCTGAACTAGTTGCGGTTGGGGATGCAGAGCTATCAGCAACATGAGCAGGTGATTCAGAATTTCCTGTTTCACTACCATAGTCCTCATCTTCAGTTCTTTGGGCTGTGGCCTTCACACGGGTAACAAATGCTTCTGGAGGCTTGTGATACACAGAGGATAACGTAGCAATGTTAGCAAGAAGCTCATCAAGAAGAGATGGATCAATCAGGTTTGAATCGTCACTGATCACTGGCTTCTCAGCTAACACCACATCCTTGGCTGCCTGTGAAATAAGAAGCGTGCCCATGAGCTCAAAACTACAACCCTAACAGGATATGTTATTCTAAATTGTCAAACTATGGTTTTGCAAAGGGTTCACTGCAGGCCAATTGTACATAAGTGGCATACGCATGAGCACATTAATGGTAACCGGTAGAAATCTTCACCCAAAATAGATTTCAAACCCAAACTGTCCCCCCGAAGAAAATGAAAATAGAAAAACAAATTTGTGGTTGTACATGTAAAAGAAAAGGGGCATTTATTAACTATTGGATGGACAAAGAAACAAAATACTATATATCGACTAAGAGAGGGAAACAAATAAGATAGGTTATTATAATGAGAAAGAACTGAAACTCGTTTTGGCCAAACCCACCTCTGGGTCAGTTGATAAAAGACGCCAATATATGTAGGCCCGATCTCGCAAATCAGGATTGTCTGTTTCCACAGTAGCATTATTTAAAACAACCTGCAAATACGGATCTACAAAGTGAGAACTTTACTTGGATAATATCTAGAAAATACAACTATGGTCCAAGTATGCAAGGAAATACTTCAAAAGGAGAACAAACATATAACTTTAGACATTCTCATTCATAGTAAAAAAGAGTGTCGCCTCTTAGATGCTACACTATATTAGAACAATGAAATCAGAACAATGGCTGCTCTAATAACGGTACTACGCATTCTAATACGGCATTTATGGCAAATGACGGGAAAAAGAAGCTAGAGAGGATAACTATGTGTGAATAATACAAAAGTTGAACCTGTATCATCTGCTGTGGTCCTTCAGTCGGCTTCTTAAGAAAGAGTTTGACAGTTGCAGTTAGCAATTGCAATTGGACATGTGCAGGCTCTTCAGGGAAACTTTCCAGAAAACTTTCAAGTAGCTCATCAGCATTGTCAATTCGTTCTGCATATTCACCAATTATCCAGATCATTGATGCCTATTGGGGGAGAGAGTGAGAAAGAACATGAGCATGGAAACACGAAGTGAAAATCAGAAGGCTAAAGCAGTGAAATATTGAATAGCAATACAAAAAGAAAAAACATAAATCTTAAGCTGGGGATTTATATTTTATCAGGGAGATAAACATACGTACCTTGGCTTCTGGTTCATCTAAAGTGTCAAGGCTTTCGCACAGAGTGGCAATAATGGACTCATAGCTGTCACCAAGATAGCAATCAATTACAAAGTTTGTAAGGGAAGAAGCCTCGTCATCTCAATTTAAATTTAAAATTAAAAAATGAAAACCCATAACTTACGTATTTGGATATCTTCTAAATATATCTTTGATGACAATAATGGCCTCTTGAACTACATAATTTACTTTGATCTTAATAAGCTCCAGTAAAACAGTAATGCACCGCTCAGCTGCTCTTTCTAATTTGATTGCACAGCGACCAATGGCGCGGACAGCTTTTCGGACAAAATCCACATCTACTTCCGTAGCATACTCTTTAAACTCCAACAAAACCTGCAGAAATGTTGGAGCAAGCATGATTTTAACTCCCCTTTGAGACTGACAACTTTCAACCAATTAAGTCTAATATAAAATAGTAACTCCTGGCAAGATTTGCATACCTGGTCTATATTTCGGTCTGAAGCAAGCTTGATCATGATTTCTAACTTTTCCATCTTTACATAAATTGGATCATTGTACTTGCAGAAGAACACCTACAAAGAGTCAAGAGTTATACGAGCTTGCCTTGCTTACAATCTGGCTACATAGTTGATAACAAGTCTCAACTCCTTGTTATATTGGATCAAACAGTAAGATTCTACACAGATACTAATTTTTATTTACCTTAATTTCATGAGCAAGGATTGTGGGTCGTCTTTGTACTATAAGGTTGATATTTCTCAATGCAACATATTGTATCTCAGGCTCAGCAGATAACAGTGTCACGAGTGGAGGAGCCATCTTTTTGCAAAGATTTCTGACGACATCAGTACTAGTTATAAGTTCCATTTGTTGGAGGATCATCTGCAAGTAAAGAGGTAAAAAGACAAAACAATTACAGAAGTAACCAAATGATGATAATTGAAGGCATAATGATTCAGAACATTAGAAAATAAAATCCACACCTTAACAGCTGAAAGTACAACCGCACAGTTAGCGTGTTGTAATCGTGGTGTAACTCGCTCTACTATATTTTCAGCTTCACGAGCGTCTGCTGCCTTGTATTTAGAAAGAGCGTCCAATATGAAAACTTGACCCCACCTGAACACTTATCATAATCAAGTTAGATAAACAAATGAAAGGAATTTTAACAAAAAGATAACATGATCTAACCGCATAAATAGTATTCAGTACATAAAAATAATTGAGTAAGCACTACTAAAAGTACACATACTCTGTGCATTCATTTAAGGCAGTTAGGAGCTTTGACAGAGTGTGACTAGTGATCTCAAAGATGGGTCTAGTACTATTCTCTTGAATTTCGGCTAGAGCAGCCACAGCATTGGCTACAACCATAGGATTATTATCAGATATCAAATCCTTGAGAGATTCCAGAAAACCCCTATCCTCAACTAACTCTGCATTTATGTCATAAAGTTTGGCCACACATATGGCTGCTGTCTTCCGAACATATGGATCATCATCCTGTTATGAAGTAAAGAAAACTAAGAAACAGATAACAAGATGCAAGCCAAGCCAATTAAACTACTTTACAACATGTTCAAGAGTAACCATTGCAAGCTGCAAATTATTAACAAACTTAAGACTAAGTTTCGACAAGAAAGCATGTGCAAAAAATGTATAAGCACTAAAAATCAACCTTAAGACACCTCTGAAGGGGATCACATAGATATTCGGTAATTTTATCAACACGAATACAACCCATTGTCCGGACGGCTAAAGCACGAATCAAAGGATTTGGGTCCTGTGAATCCTGCATAATTGATCATGCAACACAAGCCAATTAAAACGAAGAATTATTTGAAAAATGTTTAATTCAATTTTTTCTCAACATAAGTAGGAATTATCCTCCTTTCAGAAAAGAAAAAGGGAAAAAAATGAAAGAGATGATGTTATTGAACATCATATTTGGAGCATGACATTGGCTATCGTGAAGGTGCCATAAGACCAATTTGGCTATCCTGAACATCATATTTGGAACATCATCGACTCCATTATAAAGACAGACAATTAACTCAAGCAGATTGAGTACTGAAAAAAAAGATGATGTTAGAGACTTGGAATTTAAATATCGAGTGAAAAATTCCATTTCCACTAGCTTTATCTGTTTGAATTATTATATACACCCTTGAACATTGCAATTTCAGCATCTATCACATATTCTTTGCCCGTTAACTTATAATCAAATGGCTATAGTCCACCTATCTTTTCTTTTCTCCTAAAGCATATAAGTCATCTGTAAAAATGTCTGAATTGACCTGACCTGATTACATGCAAGTGTGTGGTACTTGAAAACTATGAGAAGATATGAATTTGAAAATCAGCATATCCACCAACATGTTGGCTGGGCGACAGATTCTGACATCAAGATGTGCAAACTGTATAAAACTGAACGTTCCATTGCAGTTTTACCTTGACAAATGTATTCACCGCAAGTATAGCTAGGTCAGGCTGGCTTTTAGCATAATTTATCAGATACAAATAGACTAGCTTCTTCAGCTCCAAGTTTTCTGTTTGCATGCAATTTACTACATCTGTGAAAAGTGATGAAACATCCTTCCCAACAGTCATTGCTGCGATCACCTTCTTGACGGCATCTTTTCTCTTATCCTGTACCACCCATATAAGACGATTATTTTCTCTCAGTCTCCAACAAAGTACACAAGAAACATAATTCGGAACTGAAAAAAAGGCCCAATATTAAAAAGATCAAATTTAATGGTGCAAACGAGGGTACTGTGATGGGAATCAAACAAATCACAGGAATGAACTTATAAGCTATGCCGATATCAGAAATGTAAAATTATCATGTAAAACTACAATTGACTGCACTTTGAGCAATAAACATGCTGCGATTCGTTACTACCAAATAAGAAAAAGGAATTGCATTCGAATTCTACTCACTCGAGAAGAAAACAAAAACAAAAACAAAAGAGCAGAATTCCATTTACGCTTTCGTTTTCGTTTCCATTTCCATTTATTTTGCCAGCACCAAAGAGAACACTAAGCTCACTACAGGTGAAATACACATATTCCGTGTCGGATCCGCACAATTCCAAAACCCCGGGGTGACAAGTAATGAAATTTGAAGAAATCGAACAGTAATTAAGCAAAAACTCGAATCATAAACCAACAGATCTGCTCGAACCAATCCCTGATTGGCAACAAAACACCGTAACGAAGAATCGAAGCCCTAATAGAAGTAGATCACAGATCAATTTGAACATACAAATATGAGTGTAGAGAGAGAAAGAGGAGAGAGCGAGAGATGACCTTGTATTGAGAATTGAGCTCCTCTTTGAGCTCAGGGATTTCGCCCTTCTTGGTGGTGGAGAAGTACTTGGAGTCGTGACCGCTCATCTCTTTGCTCCGGAGCCTTCTCCTCTCTCTCTCTCTCTGCAACTGATTGCGTCAAACCAAAATGCTTCGTCTAAAGAGAGACGACGACAGTAGAAGAAAAACAAAATAAAACCGATGGGAAATGACTTGTGTTAAACCCGACCCGGTGGAGAATATAGCAAACCGGTACGGTTTCTTTTTAATTACAAGATTATATTCTTCTCAAAACTATTTTAGGCTCGTTTGAAAATGGTTTAAAATGATTGAAAGTATTTTTATTGAAAATGTTTTTAAAATCAATTCTTGATATAATGCAATTGGTGTGTGCAAATTGTTAAAAGAAAGTACTTAAAAGAAGGATGATTTTTTTAGTTGCAAAGTCAAGCAGAGCCACTCTTTGGCCTGGAAAGGGATTTTGAATAGTAGACATGTTATTAACAGAGGAATTAGATGGGTTGTGGGTAATGGTGAGGATATCCTTTTTTTGGACCCATCATTGGATTTTTTTTCTTATCCATTGTTCCAGCTAATTCCTGAAAATCAACGACAGAACATAAATTTGAACACTAAAGTGAGTGAGTTTATTGATAATAAAAATTGGGATAGAGTTCGTCTCTCCCAAGTGTTGGACCTGGATGTTGTGAGGAAAATTTGTATGGTCCTTATTTCCCTTCAAAATAAAAGTGACAATTTCGTGTGGGAACACTCCTCTACTGGTGAGTTCTCGTGACTTGGATTCAGAGTAATAATAAATCAAGAAGTTAAAAGGCAGAAGCTCCTTAAGAAGATATGGAAGTTAATGATACCTCCGAAGGTAAAAGATTTTGCATGGCTTTTTACTTATGAAAAACTTCATACTAGGATGAGATTGAATAAATTTATTCAAAATATTGGCAAATTGTGCCCTATGTGTGGCAATGAGGATGAGACTCAAAATCATCTTTTTCTTAATTGCGAGCATGCTAAAGAAATGTGGAACCTCTATCCGGTAAGTCCTTGGAAGAATAATTTGACTCAGTTTAATAATGTGTTAGATTGGATGGAACTAATTGACAATGTTGAATGCAATGATTTGGGTGATCTTAGTAAAGCTATTTTGGATTGTTGGCAAATATGGAATGATAGAAATAATAAAGTTTTTAGAAGTATAATTCCTAATTCAGCTAGGAGTATCTCCATTGCCGCAAGTGTAGGCTTATCTTTTTCTAAGGTTAATTGTAAGAAGATCTCTAGGAGTGATCCTTGCCACCAACACCCCATTTGCTGGCGTCCTCCTCCCTATGGCTATGTGAAATTAAACTTTGATGGGTCGGTTAGTTTGGATTGCTCTGCAGCTGTTTTTGTTCTTAGAAATAAGGAGGGGCAACATGTTGGTGCGGGGGCATTGAACCTTGATGGCACCACCATTTTGGTTGCGGAGGCCGTTGCTTTAAAGGAAGGGCTTTTGTTCGCTAGGCACAAAGGTGTGAAGAAGTTGATGGTGGAAGGGGATTCTAAGCTTGTTATCCAGGTGGTGCAAGATGTTTGGATGCCCCCTTAGCATCTTAAACCTATCATAGAGGACATTAAATGGTTGGCTTCTGAATTTCAGCATATCAGTTGAAAGCATATTTATAGGGAGGCTAATTTCGTGGTGGACGCATTAGCTCACGTGGGCCTCACTGTTGCCAACCCACATTTTTGGGATTTTTGTCTTCCAACTTCGGCTATGGAGGCTTTTAATTTTGATTGTATGAGAAACGGTTGTATTAGAGGTTTTAAGCTTTAATAAATTTCTTCTTCTTAAAAAAAAGATATAATGCAATTGAATTTAGAAAACACTTTAAGTGTTTCCTAAAAAAACACTTTAAGTTCTTTTTAAACTCAAAAACATGTTTTCTAAAAGCGTTTTCAATCATTTTAAGTACTTCCAAACAATCATTAATAACCGTGATAAGGAGATTCAAAATCGAATGCAAAAGGGATCAGTTTACTTTCACTTGACAAGAGATTACAATTATTGCATCCAATCTCACCTAATAAAGGTGTTTAAGAGAGATGCAAATTTTAGATGTAAAAATTATATTTACATCTCATTTTACTTGAAGACGTAAATTGATGTAAACTTAAAATCTTATTTATTTTTTTCTCTTTGACCAGCGGAATCAATCTTCTAAAAGTACAAAAATAATATAAATACACATATTTATTTCCATGTTCAAACAAAGATTGATAGTTTACATTCCGCTATTATAGAGCTTTAGGCCAAGAACAAATGTAAACGTGCTCACTTCAAGGTAATTTGCGTCTCTCATTACTGATGCTCTAAGTCAAAAGAATGCAGCTCAAGCCTTAGACTGTCTCCAACACAGGTGGAAAAAAAATTTAGAATCTAAGCCCATTTCTTCTCTAAGTGGTGTATTTTGGGGTGGCAAAAACAAGCTTTTGGGATTTGGGTGGGTAATTGGGTCTAGTACACACCCCGGGTGGATAAGGTTTTTGGAAGACAACAGAGCCTTCGCGTCAGTTTCACTGACGCAGGTTGATTCAGTGTGGTGCGGCATGTGGTTGGACAAAACTGTGCAGATGTGATTTCATGACCATTGCCATCCAAAGGTTGTCGTGCTCGTGGTTATGATCCCGTGAAGCGCTCCCATCTATAGGCCTTTCCAACGATCATAATGTTGTGCATCCCAGATTTTTTACATCGAATTGTTCGTAAAAAAATAAGAAAGATGATATAAAACTAAATCCAAAATTCTTAGAAAAAATATTAGAGAAATTAAAATATTTAACAAATTATAAAATTAGAAGTGAGAATTATAAGTCATTTATCCTTGGAAGAAAAACTTGACTAACCTCATACATATAGATGAATAGTTAAAAATACTAGGCTAATTTTAGGTTTCCACCCCTTGAGTTGGGGAGATTATATATATATATATATATATATATATATATATATATATATATTTTGGAGGAAGAAAGAAGATTAATTTAAAGAGAAACCTCGGACACACCCAAGGCCTTGAGAATCATACAAGAGTGTTTTTTGCTTGGGTAACACACCTATCCCAAAATATATAAATTAGAACAATTATGCCCAAGAGAAGTTATGGCGTCCTTTGTGAAGTTTGCTTTTCTGTAGACATGATTTCATTCTACCAGCTAGAATGATGAGGCAAGCCATTTAATGTCCTCAACGATGGACCTAATTCTCTATGGTATTGCACACTTTTCGGAATTGAATCAACAACAACCTTTGAGTCCTATTCTACCACAATTTTCTTGATTTGACATTGTTTGGCCAAAGCCAAGGCATCCCGAAGAGCCTGAGCTTCAACCACAGTGATAGCATTTGGTCCAAGATGTCGAGCACCTAAGAGAGAAGGTTGTCTCCGATGAATCTGATTATAAAAATCGCAGCAGCAGTAGTGCCCTACATCGACCCATCAAAATTGAGCTTATAAAAGCCTTATGCAGGTGCTTTCCAACTAATGGTGCTGCTTGAAATCTTAGTCTTCCTTGGTTTCTATTTCAAATTAGCCTTCAAGAACTCTTTACCAATTGTAGCTGTTGCCATTAGACAGCGAGTTGGATGAGGTTTAATTTGTTTAACAACAAAATTATTTCTCTCATTCCACAGTTGCCAACAAAGAATTAGGATTTTATTAAGATCAGAAATGTCATCTTTATTGAAAGCTGACATCCCCATTAACCAATCATTCATATTGCAGATGGAGGAGGGTGCAGACAGGTTATTACAAAGCTTCCAAACTTCTTGAGCATGAGTACAATAAACAAAACGGTATAGTTGATCATCCTCTGCAATATTGCATAAAAGGCAAAGAGTTTGACCATTATGATGATACTTACTTAATCTTTTAGAGGAAGACAATCTATTTCTTATAAGCAACCAAGCAAAAAATTTAACTTTATGTGGAATAAGTTTCCACATTTTTTTTAGTAATTGTTTGAAAGGTTTACTGTGAGTATCATCAATTTGAATCCAAGTGATTGATTTAACTGAGAAATTTCCATTAGCATACGATCCCCCCCCCCCCCCCCCGGCGATAAACTCATCCTCCATGTCATTTAAAGGGATAGGGATGACAAATGTTTTATCAGCCACATCATTAGGTAGTAATTGAAGGATTAACTTCTTGTTCCACATTTTATATACCATCACATCACTAACTTTCTAATTTAAATTTAAAGAGTTTATTAACTAGTTTTGAATGAGAGTGGATAGTGGAAAAGGAAAAACTTAGTTATGGGACTAAAACAAAATATTTTGACCATTTCCCACAATCAATCTCATTCAGTTTTTAATGATAGGTTTTCTAGCCAAAATTCATTTTCAAGCCATAGATTGATTTTGTTTACACTTCGCATTACAAAGGTTTCATTGATATTTTACCTTCACAATTTTAACCCACCAATTGTCATTTTTTGAAATAATTTTCCAAGCAAGCATTGTAAGGAAGGCAAGATTAAAATCTTCAGCTTTCTAATCCGCATCCCCCTAAAGTCTTAGGTAAATATACATCCTTCCAAGCCACAGCCACAGGGAGAAATTAGATTTTTTATTCCAAGAAATTTCCTACTCTCTATTGATGGCTTCAGTAACTTTTGGGAGACATATAAAGCAAATTGGGTATAAGATTGTTTATGAGAAGTCCAAATTTATTTATGACAACTAAGAGCATCTTCAAAGGTAATGTCAAAGATCCTATGTGGCATATTTTAACAAAAATGAAGTTTAAATGAAAATGACTTGGGCTAAGTTTATTTTAACAAACAATCATTCTATAACTTTATTTAATAAAAAATGACTTGAATTTTAATGAAAAAGACAAAAGAGCTTAAACTTTAATGAAAAGTACTTAAATTTTAATAAAAAAGAAAACAAGTTTAATATAATAAAAATAAAATAGAAAAATGTAATAAAAAATTAACGCGCGCGTCACTCACACATACTATTTCTGAAATTGAACGGAAAGTTGAACACTAATTATTTCTGAAACTAAACATGAGTACTAAACTATTTCTGAAATTGAACACGATACTACACTATTTTTGAAACTGAACATAGGTACTATTTTTAAAATTTGGCGTCCACTGACTATTTATTAAACTGAATATGGTATCTCTTCAGAAAGTCTAACGATCATTCTTCTCTCTCCTCTTCTTGAATTTCTCGGCACTTTCTCACCTTCCAAACACATTTTCTTCTAATTTTTTTCGATTCTCATCAAATTTTCTCTGAATCTTTTCGATTTCTTAACTTTCTACACCAATTCCTTAATTTTCTTATATTATATGCACATTTGCAGCTTCCTTTTATCCTCCACCTACAATCTCACAATGCAGAATAAAAAAAAAAAAGCAAATGAAATCAATAAAATCGAATACAAAAATATCCATCAAAACCAATTAATCCTTTTAAACTATCTAGACCTGCGCCAATGCTCTCTACTTCACATGCATTTATAAAGATTTTTGTGATGATATTTGTCTGATAATAACATTAAATATGAAATCAGTTTAATAGATATTGAACAAATGCATCTTATATAAGATTAATATAGAACCATAATTGTATATTATATAATCAACAAAACTTGGCTGCTTAATAGTTAGTAGGAAGTCCTGCTGAATAGTCACTGTGACTGCTTACCAGCTTGACACATGTCCACTATTTTTCTTCTTTCTTAAAAAAGTTATGTAATATTAAAATATTATGTAAATGACCAAAATATCCTTATACCCCTGTTCAATTTGTCCAGTCTTCTCCCCTTCCTCTCTTTTGTTCACAGACCCCAACTTTATTTTGTTTCTCTTCTTGGCGAAAGCACATGCAACCACCAGTTTTAATTTTCAAGTTTAGGCAAATTTAATTAATGGGTTCTTTAATTTTTTATGCAATGTTAAGAATACTTGTATAAAATATTAGAATAACTATTTTAGAAAGCAGCTATGCCAATTCAAAGACAATTACAAGTTATTTTAAATTAAGATAGTACAATTCAAAAGGAAAATGGTGCAACCTCCACTTTAACTTTCTATACTGCACAAAATTTGCCAAAAACAAAAAGAAATATCTTCCAATTTTTTCTTCATGTTGTAGGATGCCAAAATAATAGGTGGGCACTCCACACCTCCAATTTTCCATTTTACAAAAAATCTACAAATGAAAATCCTGCTCAATTTCCATTTTGTTTGGCTCTTTCATCTTGTGAAAAGGCATGGAAATTTGTTGTTAATTCCTACAAACAAAAAGTTAAGCAGCTAAATATATAATAGGATAAACATTTTCTACACATCTATATTTGTTTGTATGTATTATAGTTGTCATATATGTAATACTCACATTAAGCAATTGAGTGAAAGAGACATTTTGTTGCCAACAGGTAATCTCGTCCAAACTTCCAGAAGTTAAAAATGAAAAATTGGTTCCCTTTGGTATATCTTATGAGAGGCAAAAGAAAAAAATGAGTGTTGAAATCAATATATTAGAAAATAAAAACAAGATAAAAGAAGTTGACAAACTAAAAATTC